TCACCAAAGTGAGATAGTTACATTCAAGTACTACTGTACAGGGAATGACTGAGTTCCATAGGACAAAGCCTATGTTGCTGTTGTATCTTGTTACAAATTAAAGGGGATCCAGCCTTTCTGAGTACGGACTGCTAATATTTTCTTAAACTGGTAATTGCCATAATTATAAATGGGTGCAATCGAATTATTTTACTCTGTGGTTATGCCAAGATATTTCTGAAAAAAAATTTTTAAAGAAGGTAAATGTGTAACTGTCACAGGCTCCTCAGGAGGCACTTAGTTTTCCTATTAAATGTTAACTAGCTGGAGGAAAAAATTAGGCAGCATTCATTTATAGGTGTTGAAAATTGTTATGTGATGGCTTAAAAGAGGTGGAAATGGGCTGTGTCTTCTAAACATTCTGATAGGAAGATTAAAAATTAGTTATTAGTATTTTCAAGAAATTACCTCTTGAGTAGGCATTCTAGTTCCTAGTATTAATTCCATGATTATGTCAGTAGATGAAGAGACCTGTGCTACCAATAGGGGACTTCTGTTCTTGACCTTGGGGATAATGACCAAATCATAGAGAAGGGCAGGGCAGGGGCGAGCACTTTGGCTTGAGAAACCAGCAGGAAGACATCATTGGCTTTTGGATGATTCATATGGAATGGGAAAGGGCAGATGGGAGAAGCTAAAATTCTGTTGTGAAAGACCCAGTAAAACACCTGAGGAGTTGAGGCCTGCCTTTCTGGCCTTGGAAAGCCATCAAAGAAAGAAAGTGACACAGTCAGGTGAGGGCTCTGTCAGATCTGTCTGGCATTAGGTCAGGGGAAATATTGAGCAAGGAAGAGGGAAATGTTGGAGAGAACCTGAGAAAGCTGTTACAGTGGCCAGGCGAGAAGCGCTAACCAGAGCCAGGGCCATGACTCAGGGAACCAAGGAGGTGGCCTGTGCTTTGGTGTGTATGACTGCGCAGCTGGCTGGCCCTGAGGAGTGATAAGGGCAGGTGTGGGCACTGTTTATATTACAGAACTTTGGAATTTTGACCAAGATCTCTTTGGTACAGGGGAGGCATAGGAATACTATCTTTACCACTAGAGGGTGGGGGAGATGGCTCAGTGGAATAAGTGCTTCCCTGGCAAGCACAAGGGCCTGAGTTCAATCCCTGGTTCCGCCAAAAAAAAAAAAAAAAAGATGTTTTCCACTAGAATAACTGGTTACCTTTGCCAAAAATCAGAGAAGTCATGGACCTTGCTTTAATGGTCCTGTAACATAGTTTGAATATCTGAGATCTTAGTACTTGTCTCATTAATGCAGTGTTAATTGGACGCTCCAGCTGACAGTATGGAGACTATATAACCTTTCTTTTCAGACTGATTCATTTGAAATGCTTTTAGCAGAGAGGATCTCTGTTTGCCCAAATGAGCTGGCTTGTTTGGCCCAGTCTTTGCCATTTTCTGCAGTGCTGTGTGGGCCTTCTTTTACAGTTACACTCCTGAACTATGTGGCCTGAGTTGGTGTGATGAATATTGTTATTCTAGAATACTCTTCATGGTTCATTCATTTACTAAATTTTATTTAAGTTAATGATATAAAAGACTTAGATAACTATGGTGGCTCCTACTTCTTAAGATGTAACATTTGGCTGTAGGAAAATTTTATTTATTTATTTATTTATTTATTTATTTATTTATTTGTATTTTAGGGAAGGGTCTACAGAGTGTTCATGGTCTCATTACTAGATCGGACTCGTAGTGATTCACCTGTTTACAGCCTCCCAAGAGCTGGGACTACAGGCATGCACCACCACTCCCAGTATTGGGAAATTTTATTAAACTGAGTAACAAAAACATATGGAGACTGTGTTAAGAACATAGGAAAGATATGGAAGGAGTATGGGGGGGGTAGGAAGAAGAATTTACTGCTGGGGAAAAAGGATTCTCTCTGGTGGCAGATGTAGAATTGGACCTAACCTTTAAAGTAGGTTTTGAGTTGGAGTTAAATATTTTAATAGGAAAGAAAAATTGAAGGAAACTTAGTGGAAAGAGTTGCATGAGGGTGACAGAGATAGCTCAGCAATCTAAGCACCTGCCTAGGCAAGCACAAGGACCTGGGTTTCATCCTCAGTCCCAAATGCCATGCCAGCCCCATGCCCCGGGTGCACTGAGCTGGCTACCGAGGCTGGATGAGGTGGTGCATGCCTATAATCCCAGCATTGGGGAGGCTGAAACAGGAAGATCACTATGAGTTCAAGCTGCATAGTGAGACCCTATAACACACACACACAAACATACACACACACATACACACACACACACACACACACACCAAAAAAAAGGTTGCATGAAAAAAATAACTAGAGATATTGAGGCACAGCATGGTGTGGGGAAACTGGAAGTCCTTCTGTGTTGCCAAGGGCTGTACCAAGAGCCAGGGGTCAGGAAGGAGATAGTACCAAGGAGGCTGAGGAAAGAGATCGAGAGTCCACGCTGCA